ATATATATTTCATGACTTTTGGGATACACCTTGTATTGTAATCGTGCAAAATTCTAAATATGAACATAAACTTCCACGTTTCAGACCATTTTAAAGTCTACTAACATTTTCACCATTTTGTTCAGTAATTTGTCAGCAGTGTACATATAGTTAGTAGCTTGGACTGGGAAATATATAGAACGATGTTCACACGTTGGGGGTTTGCAGCTTATTTCATATTTTCAGAACGTCATGTGGTTATACTCTGTACATGCATAACATGCTTTGCTGGAGTCCCTTCTATTTTAACGTCAGCCTCACCTTCACTCGGTGCACATTCGTCTCACAGAGGTTTTGGGACCAAGCCATTATGATACGACTGCTGAATTAGTACTGGGAGGCCAAATTCCAAAACAAATTGGTCATGTCGGTACAACCGTAATACGTGCCGAGGAAATGACAGTACCAATAATTCGGTTACATTAAACTTCAGTTTCAAAGTTTCGGTTTGAGAAGTCAGTGCTATTCAGCTGCACTCCAATTTCAGTGAGAACGAAAATATTGACAGGTGACTTGAGTGTGATTATAGACGGGGTTTAGATAGGTAATCCGATTTTTTTAAAAATAATAGACTAAGTTTGTCTTTAAGAAATTTCGGTTCCGAAAATACGAAATAAACTACAAACCTCCGACATGCCAACATTGTTCTATATATTTCCCAGTTCCAGCTACTAATTATATGTGCACTGCTGACAAATAATGTAACTGAACGAAGTGGTGAAAATGTTAGTGGACTTTAAAATGATTTGAAACGTGGAAGCTTAAGTTCATATTTAGAATTTTGCACGATTACAACAGTCTTCGTGGTTGAGGGATATGCTTCGATAAAATTCTGTATCACATTATTTTAAGAAGCTCTTTTGTCACGTATGGTGCCAAATACAATATGTTTTCCATGGTCCGAATAAGCGAACCCATAATGTGGGCAGAATGAAACTGCTAGTGATTTTTATCTAATTTACCACGTTTATCTTTTCAAAAAAAAAAGCAATATATACACCAGCTCTGCTCACGCGCAAATGCACATGCCTCCAATCACAGACCAAAAACTGATTCGATCAAGCAATGAAGACGTATTTCAGCACTGACATGTTACCGGCCAGACGGCCTTTCACTCACAACAGATGCAATCAATATCGATCAATATGTAAGCCAGCATAAGCATATTACTCGCAAATGGTAGCGTAGTTGGTTGATGCACTATGCTACAAGCTGCAAGGTCACGGGATCGAATCCCGAGGAGGTGAATTGTTACCTAATCCTTCCAGCCGCACTATGGCCCTGGAGTCAACTCAGTCTCTAACAGAAATGAGTACCAGGAATCTTACTGGGGGTTAAGGGGCGGCCGGTGCGTAAGGCTGAAAACCTTGCCACCATCTATGGGCTGATTGTCTAGAAAATGTGGGAACCTCAGCATCTCATAACCCTATGGGCCTCCACGATCTGTTACAGGGATACCTTTACTTACTTACATGTGCCAGTATAATTTAATTATCCAGCGTCCGTCTATCTGTGCGAGTCTGGATGCGTAAGTTATTTCTTCGAAAAATGCATATTTATATCAGTATTAATTTTAAATAAGATTTAATATAGCAAACCATCTCATCAAAACGTACTCGTGAAACGAAATGTTTTTTTAAGTATGGAATTTTCTTATTTTAGAATACTAAATCAATCATTACTGACCGAAACAAGTTTAATCTATTATATCGATCGGTCTATAGATATGTAGTATGATGTATTCATACAGTCACTTTAACAAGAAAAATTCTCTAATGTACTCGCAAACAATTTAGATTTTTTACTGTTTTATTTGATTTTCTGTGGTAAACCGCCATTGTGAATGGGGCTCCTTGAAGAGTTGATTTGCAAGACGACCTACAAGAAGTCCACATGAAACTTTTATATTAAACCATGTTACAGGAGCCCCCACCAATAAAATAATTGTTTGTGTGGTATATTTAAGGACGCTTTCGGTAGTTAAGGCTATATGGAAGGGATGTGGAAGGAAGCGGACTTTGCCTCTTACAAAGATTATCCCCACATTCACCTCGAGAGACTGAAGAAAACCACAAAACGTCAATCAGGACAGTAGGTGTCCTGGCCGAGATTCGAATCAGGGACAACTCCACCGGCTGAAAACAAAAAAGAGGGAGGAAAAGAAGACAAAAAACTGTACAACAAATAATCTAAACCAGTATAGTAACATGTTATGTTAATGAAATGAACTATCGATAAAATTTATAAACAAAATTAAACTTACCAAGGGCATAGCCAAGAACTGAGATATGAATCCTATTATGGGTCCAATGGGCCTGCGGACAGTTTTCTTGAATGCTGACCAGTCCAAGGCACATCCGAAATTGATGTAGATAACCGACACAAGGACAGCTACACTGTATGTGAAAAGTTTGTCAACAACTCTCTCATTGCGCACAACCTTTACAGTTATAGAACTGGAGGAACTAAGAACAGTTTGACTACGATTATCTCTAAGTTGTAGATGTACTTCTGCATATCCCAGAAAGTTTCCAGTAATATTGAAGGCAGAAGTCCAATTTCCAGAATTTGAAATATTTTCATTTTTCAGTATGTAGATCTTGTCTGCCGGACTGGGCGTCGCTATGCTTCCATCACTTGTTATAACACGAACGAGTCCAAAATAAATCTCATCCTCCTTGAGTGGGGCAGAAAATTTCACTGTTGACATACTGTCCATTGGCAGTAAGAGTTCTGTAGGGTCGAAGTTGACACCCCACAAACTCGTCTTACTGGTGACGTGGGCCATGACGGATGATGAAATTACCCATAACGGGCCAAGAACACTCGCATACATGAACAATGAATGGAATGGCCACAGCGGACACATGGTGCACTCGGATCAAGGAGCTGGAGAACAAAATTAAAACAAAAGTCAAAGAATGCCCACTTTCATGTAGAACTATTTTAAAATATGCAAACACCGTAAATAGATCTCCTTATATATGCACACAAAGCATCTGAGCAGATTATTCTGCTGCAAATGCTAAGTCAAAAAAAGAAAGAAAGAAAAAATAGAGCCCCCATAACCGCAACCAACAACTGGCACACACAATAAACATGACATAACGGTCAACTATCTCGTAACAAATATTATATATATACTCGAAGGTAAGTAATGTTAGAAGAAGGAGGGTTATGAAAATTCAACTGACGAAAAATGTGTATGTACGAGGAATATGTGCACACACGAGGCACAGCTTAATTTATGATGTATGGAAATCATACAGTCGGCTTGATACACTGCTGTCCATATCAAGTGACTGGTACGCTTAAGATAATTATGTGAAGTATGTAGATTAATATCTCCGGTCTAGAAAACTGAAATTAACGTCCGTGGGTATCCGTTGCGTTAACCACACGACACTCTCTATCCACTAAAGTTGGTACTAACTTCGCTAACAAGCGGCGGTCGCTTTATCGGTATAGTTCGCTTGCGGACTAAAACCTCGCAGTTTGTTTATGTAGATTTATATCGGTTGAACAGCTGAAAAACAAAATATCTGACGAGTACAGTCTTCTTGGATATGACACAGTGCGGTCTGGTGAAAATGAATGCCGTTTCAGAAGCACAATTTGGCTCCATCTTCATGGTCGAAGAGTAAGTCGAAAATGAAGCAGAAAACAACTTACTTTTCAGCTCTGAAGATGATGATAAAATGTTCCTCTGAAACGTCAATAAATCTTTCAGATTACACAGCATCACATCCCAGACGTTTGTACTCATCACAGTCGCCACCATGAGAACTTCAAATCTCACGAATAACTGACGATCCTTTTGTGCGTCTTGGCCCTTCCTGTGGTACCAGTGATGATTTCTTCTATACATACTCGGAATTTGACAGGGTTTAAGGTTAAGTACAGGGCAGGAGAGGGAACAAATGTGTTTAAGTATACGTATACTGTAGTGTACATTTTAAATATTTTGCCGAAGTCCGATAAAACATTCACGCGAAATCTGGGATGTCACGTTGGGCATCTCTGGTATCCACTCCATAAATCAGTAACTGCGATTCATCTGCTGGGCGGCCTTCACGGGAAATTCGCCTGTCTAGGGTCAGAGGTGGGGGGACATATGCTAACTTGTCAATCTATGCATTATAAACGTACTTTCTACACCTGATCCGCAAAATGATTTCAGTTTCACAATACGATTCACATAGCGAAAAAGTCTGCCCAGCCGTACTTCAGGATGAGATCAATACATACAACTAGGCCACTCAGTAACAAATAACTTACGAAGTCATATCAGATTTTTAGAGGCTCTTTATCCTGTATATCCGTTTATAGCTCACTTAAGACTTAGGCCGTCTACACACGGAGCTACTCAAAATAAACGGAACTGGTTTGCGACTGGAATCAGCAATCAGTTACTGACTCATTAGTGACACGGATCCACACACGAAGCTACTCAAGAAAGATCAAAATCAGTAGTTTGTTCAGTGAAATCATCGAAAGACCATCATCTCGGTCTTTGTTGGTTAGTGATGATTCCAGTGACAGTTCAGCGATGAAGCTGTCATATTATTATATTTTCATCGCTATAGAAGAGAAAGAATATGAAGAAGATTCTGGGTTCATCCGTACCTTGAAAGAAATTTCCACCGACGATTATTTGTTGCTGCTAAAGAGCTCGAAGTTTCAGATGCCCAATTTTTAGCGTTCTATCGAATGTCTAAAGAAAGTTATTTAGAACTTGTGCAAATAATTTCCCCTGTCATACAAAAACAAAACACATTATGAGGGAGTGCGTGGATGCTGAGGAACGGATATTAATTACTCTCAGGTAAGAAATTTTATTACGATAATATATATATAGTGTAATGTTAGTATGTGTCACTATGCAAGGCTTCATGAACTGCTTCATAATACTCTGCTGCTGGACTACTATTATTCTCGCCTCCAGCTACTCGAACCGTGAGTGGGTTGTATTGCAGTGCCTCATCAGGCACGTGAGCAGGATTTGGTGAAAGCAACATTCCCGACACTGATGAAGAAGTTGTGGTTTGGGATGAAGATGCGATCTGAGAGGAGCCAGTCGTGCGCGTTGACAAAATCTCGTCAACAATATCTAGGGCCTTACGCTTGAAATGTCACACCTCTTCATCAGACATTTTCAGAAGATCAGGCAGCATGCTTAGAAGGAACATTTTCAGCCCCTCACTTTTTGGATCCTGGTTGGCAAGGCCTGTTTTGGTCAACGTTTTGGTTTTTTTGGCCTGAAAGTAATCGATGAACGCTTTGTCAACTGCTTCATTGTTCACGAAACGCTTCTTCTTCGGTATATGATGTGATGGTGAAGGTCCAGGCAGAGTTTCCCACTGTTGAGACATTTCAGCAGTTTGAGTGGAGAGCAGTGGTAGTGGCTGTGGCGGCGGCGATTGAAGCTCCTGTTGCGATAAAGGAGGTTCTGGCAATACTATACTTCCAGTGTCATTATTTTCGAATAGCTCATTTTCTTCCTGTTGTGGTGGACGGGGTAAATTCCCTGAAGGCGTACCTAATGCCTTAATATATGGAAGACAAAACTGCATAGCTTCTAAAAGGTAGTACGCTTTCTTTGGCTTTGCTCCCGAACCACTTTTGGAGCATTTCATGTTTCGAGTATAAACAGCACGTAGGTTTTTCCATCTTTCTTTGCATTGAGCCACTGAAACAAACAAATTTATTATTGCTTAACTGGTGGTGCCCTGACCATTTTTCTTTTCTTATTTATAAAATATAAAATATACTCATATATAAAAGATATTAACAAATTTTTTCATTTTATATTTATGAAGATTTCTCATCGTAATTTTATTGATTTTTTGTACAGATATTTAGGAACTGGTGGAACATTTACATCGATTGCTGCGTATTTTGCTCGAGGGGAGTCCACAGTTGGTCACATTGTGGCTGAGACATCAAAAGCGATTTGGGAAACGCTGAAGGAGACTGACATGCATGTCCCAACAAGGGACCAGTGGGGAGCAACAGCAGAACGATTTGAATCCCTCTGGAATCTTCCCAATTGCATAGGCGCTATAGACGGCAAGCATGTCAGAATCAAGAAATTTGCAAATACTGGCTCTACTAATTTCAACTATAAATCATATCATTCGATAGTGTTAATGGCTTGCTGCGATGCCGACGGTATATTCACAATGATCGAAACCGGCTATGCTGGAAGAAACAGCGATGGGGGCATATTCCGTGCCTCAGCCATAAAACATTGGATCCTGAATAACAGACTCGATATCCCTCCCGCCTCACCATTGAAATACGATAATAGTGACAGTCCATTTCCTTATTACTTTGTTGCCAATGAAGCATTCCCATTGGCGCGATATATGATGAGACCCTACCCTCAAAGAATTTTCAACTACAAATTGAGCCGAGGAAGGAAAACAATTGAATGTGCTTTTGGCATGGCCTGCGAGAAGTTCGCTGTTTTGAATGGTCCTATCCGCATCAGGGATCCAAAGTACATGAACTTTGTCATCAAAGCTGTCTGCGTTCTTCACAACTATGTACGAAAACGAGAGGGGCTTCAGTACATGCCAACTGACGAATTCACGGGAAGTGAAGTTGATAGCAGTGTGGTACAACCTCAACCACAAAACATGACAATACACATTAATTCTCCTGCAACGGCTCTGAGGAGTTATTTGGCAAACTATTTTCTTACCCCACTAGCATCTCTACCCTGGCAGTGGAAATTTTGTTTATGAACCTACAATATAACCTAACTAATTTTGAAATCGAAAACTCTCCACAGTTTAATTATAACCTCATAATCACTTAATTATGTATATACTTACATAATTAATTAATAATTAATTCATATTCGAACCGTTTTTTAATATTTCCACTCTGCGACATTAAAAAATAAAATAGTACATACCTGTCATATTCACTCTTTTTCCAACTTCATCCCATGCCTTTTCACTTTCATCTTTCTTCGAATATCCAGGAAGCGTAAAATTGTACAAAACAGGATGTTTTTCAACTTCTCCTACAAATAACGTATTCAGCTGTTGTTCGCACATCTTGAAGAAAGTCACCAAGAAACTGAGCTACTTCAGTCCCTAGTGACTCGGCCGCCGAGTTGCCTGGAACTTATAATTACTAACGGGTTGGTAACGCGAGGTCCTCGGCCACTAGCACAGTGTCTTATGCGCGCAGTGCAGAGCGAAGGCTGCAGACGCATTGCTCTCCGTGTATTTAAATGGGAGTGCGCCCACTAGAGTAGGGTCGTGCCAGTATAGTACAGTATGGTATAGTGTAGTGTCGTCTCGGTTGCTCGAAGAGGCAAACATTCTGCACGGCAGTGTCATGGCGGCACGCCGCATCCCCCTTCCACCTACCAAAACGCTTTGTCATTCCTGGGTTGAGTGTCAATGAGGCAAGACATGGCGTTCGAGGAAAGATTAATCTCCACTGTACAAGAGTACAATATCCTCTACGACTGCAGTCATGCCTACTATTATGACAGCATGAGAAGAGAAAACGCTTGGACGGAGATTGGCGAAACGCTGAACGAATCAGGTAGACTAATAATTAGTATGCAATACATGAATGAAAACAAATTGCATATATAATGTTTTAACCCACGGTCTACAGTAGGCTTCCCATGCACGTGAGCCCCGGTAGCGTAGTAGGTATAGCGACTGCCTACGGGCTGGACGACCGAGGGGTCAGAGTTCGAGTCCCGGTAGGGTCAAGAAAATGTGGATCTATACATCCACTCCCCCATAAGCCTTTAATGGCGTCGTGCTTTCATTCGTTGAGCACAGGGACAACTGTACCTGTACCTTCCGTGTACAAACAGTATAGTTAGGTACTACTTTGCTGCTGCTACTACTACTACTACTACTACTACTACTACTACTACTACTCTTGGGGTTATGGCCTCTCTAAAATTCGTGTTCTTCTTCTTTATGCGTGGCTCTATTGCTAATAATAGCTCACAAAATTTGGCATAGCTCATGCGAAAGTAGATAAAAAACTTCTTATCGTCTTCAGTTAGGTCGTGAAATATCGTGTGGAACTCTCCGAATTCGTTTCTTTTCTTGTTAATATCGTGCACCCATATTCGCTTTGGCTGATCCTCTTGTAGCATCATAGCTACACAAATCGTTTCTTCTTCCGAAGACGAGTCGGTCATTGCAATATTCTGTAGGTTCTGTACAACATGGAGCGCAAGACTGCACGAAAGCGGACTTGGTTCAACTTGGAGGGGTAAACGTAGCGGGTAACAACTTTGGTGGGGGGAATGCTTTCGGTCCTGTCTCTGACGCTGCACGCCTGCAGTGGGCGCACTCGCTGCAGACATACTACAACGACACTTCACTGTTCTGCTAACCATACTGCTCTAGTGGGCGAGGAGCTTGTGATCAGTAGCGCCCATTCAGTCACATTGGAAGTGACTCATTGCGGACTCGTTAGTAACTTGCGTCACTAATCAGTTTATTTTGAGTAGCTCCGTGTGTAGACGGCCTTACATTGCAAACGCATACTATGAACATACTTCTTAAAACCCTATTTGTACACAGTTAAAAAGCATGTTATTATTTGAACCAGAATGAACTACTTTGGTAATAAACGTGACAAAAGTAATTTGCTAGGAATCTCTGTTCTCTTCGTCTATCCACATCTATACTGCTAATTTCAATGTATTCCTTTTATTGCTAGTGGGGTGGGACTAAGTCCCTTGCACTGCGGCCACTTCTGGCCTATTGTACCAGCCCCAGATGATAGGTGAGGGTGATTGTGGAGCAATTGGTGGAATGAAGATTCGCAGTGGGAAACCGAAGTACTCGGAGAAACCCTGCCCCAGCGCCACTTTGTCCACCACAAATCCCACTTGACCAGACCTGAGATCGACCCCGGGCCGCCGCGGTGGGAAGCCAGCGACTAACCGCTTGGGCTAATGTAAGTCCCGCATAACTGGCAACAATGAGACAAACGTAACTGAATTACACCTTCTACATGCTGGTTAAGAGTGACAAGCATGAAACAAAACTCAATTGGAAAGAAAACATCAACCCTTAGTTTCAGACGCCGACCTTCCTCGATACCGGAGTTTTTGGTATGTCGCACAAAGTACCGCAGGTAAGCAAACATTATTTAAAAAAGAAACTGCACTTTAAGAGTGTTCTTAATTTCATATGGCAAAATATCACATTTTACAAGTTCTATAATTCTTAAACATGCTACACAACGTAAAATGAAAATGCAAAAGAAAACACCGGCGTGCGATGCTTAATATAACATATTTTAGGATTTAAATGGTACATTTGAAACGCTCTTTAAGCCTGCAGTGCGTGGTATAGCATACAGAAAGAATTATGACAGTAATCTCCATGACTTCCGTCAAACACAAAGTTCTTTGCAATACATAATCGAATCTTACGCCATGAATTAAAAATGACCTTGATATCTTGATATTATGCATCATGTCCCCCCTGACACCACGCAGTGTTTTCTGAAGCTTTTCCTGTTGTGAGACAGTCTATAGAGGATGAACCGTTTAACATTATCACAAATATATATATTCTTATCACATTTAGCTACGTTTCGACCGTAACGTAGTGACACACACGGCGGATTTTTCCGTGGCGGAGAGTTTACCGTCGCCGCCGTTCCAACAGTAGCCAACTGAAGTAAATTAGAGCTTATACATTAGACGAAAAAAAAAAAAAGATCGGTCAATTTGCCGTCAGCGGTAGCTGTGCTGCCGTCGGGTGCCACTGTACGCTGACGGAAGTTTTACCGTCGGGGTCTTTAAAAAACAGAAACCTTCAAGTACTGACGTACGTGACTAAATGCACGTTTACACATGGCTGTTTTTCTCCCGCTTAGTTAATTGCTCAGTGTGAGTTGAACTGAACTTCGTGTTCACAGTTTTCAATCAATATTATATTCGTATCA